CAGGCCCGGGGCGCGGGGCGCGGGACGCGGGGCAGGGGAGCAGGGTGGGTGGGGCCGGGCTTGTGACTCACCGTGCGGCACTGCGGTCTGACCCGGGGCACCTGCGCTCTGACCGGGGGCACCTGTGCGCTCCCCTGGCGCGGGCGCAGTGCCCAGGTCAGTCCCTTGCGTGGGCGAGCGGTCGGGGTGTAAAGGACGCGTTCGACCCTCCTCTGTCCCCCAGGGCGAGGCTCTGGCAAACGGGCCCCTGGGAGGCGCCCTCCCTTCTCTCTTCCTTCTCCAACACCTTCTGGTCGGAATGACGGTCGTGCGCTGGGCCGTGGGGTCTGCGGGGACCCAGCTGAGAGGCTGCTGAAAAGAAGGGTTAGGCAGTGTAATGCCAAGGGTCCCCCGTCTGGTTGGGAGAAAGTTGCATAGACCCTGGAGTAGGGCCCAGGTGGGTGTCGTGTTGCCACCCCGCCCACGGTGACCTCCAGCCCCGGCAGTCACTTTCACAGCTGCCTCACTTCTCGGAGGACAGGCAGCGCCTGGGGAGCTGGGCGTAGAGGGCGCTGTGGAGGAAACGGGCGCCTTACCACCTTACCGCGTCGGTGAACTTGTCCCTCCATTTCCATTTCTGCCCCCTTGAGAGGCCCCAGCTGTCCGTGACCCAGGACGGTGGCCCATTGGGGCTCTGCCTGGGGCTTGGGGTGTTGAGTGAACTCCCCTGACGCCTAATGGCCTGGGACTCCAGGGGGACCATGTGGCCAGGCTGGCAGGGCTGCCAGGCCCCGGTGCCCCTCCCCAAGCAGTTAGACAGCCGACCCAGCAGAGCCTGGGAGAGCTCCTGGGTTTGCTGCTCCTCCAAGCTCCTGTTTCTTGGAGGATTGCGCCTCTGGTTTCTGAGCTTGAAATGAAAGGCAGTTTCCCGGAGATGATTCCTGATTACGTTGCTCCATTAGCTCCTGCCACCTTGTTTTCTCCTTTTTCTCCATCCGGGTTAGGGATGTTGAGGGTCACTGGTGGGCGACTTATGGAGAGGGGAACCTGGGGCAGCCCTCCTCTCCCGGGCCTGCTCCGGGAACGATGGGAGTGCCCGGTCCTGTGTCCCGGTGTGGAGAGCGTGGGACAGGGCGCCCTCACTCGGGTTCCCAGCACAGGCTCAGAGACCTGCTTTGTCCTCCCCGAGCCCTGTGTCCTTGGAGGGGGCTGCGGGGCAGGGCGGGTGCATGCGCCCTTGCTCCCTGTTCTCAGAGATGTGACTTCCACATCCGGCTCAGGCTGATGTGTTCATGACCGGGTATGTTCACCAAGGTAACAGAGTGAGCATCTGGGGCAGGGAGATGGGACATGCCCATAGGAAATGGGGTGCTGGGAGGGGCTGTGTAGCCCCGGGAGTGGGGACCACTGTGTCTTAGGGTGACCTTGAGCCGGTCTCTGGTCTCTTGTGCACCTGCTGAAACTTCCCAGCCATCAGCTGGGCTCCAAGTGTCCTCGGGCTGGTGCTCCAGGGCTGGCGGGCGGAGGCCTGCCTCTCAGTCAGGGGCTGCGCTCTGCATGTGAGCTCCCCTTCGGGGCCCACCAGGGGCTGACTATTTCTCTCAGCCCCAGATGCCCCCCTGAGGGGGTGTGGGGAGCTATCCTCACCTCCCAGCACTTAGGTTTCTGGCCCCCATCATGTTATCCCAGGGTCTGTAGGGGCCTCGAGGAAGTCTGCAGTTCAGCAGCTCCGAGCCTCCTCGGGCCACAGCCTGGTGAGTGGGACCTGGGGGCCCACAGACACCTGGGAAGCCTGGCGTGCGCCCCATGTGGAGCCTCGCCCTACGTCGGACTCCTCTGGAGCTCAGACTGGCTTTGCAAGGGAGCTGCTCACCTGGCTCTTACTGAGGGCCCGGGCCTGCTGCTGGGCTGTGTGAGCAGCGACTCTCCCAGCAGGGCAGAGGGAGGCACCCCCAGCCTGGAGGAGAGTGAGGCCGCACCCCGCTGTGTCCACGGTGCATTTCTTCCAGAAGCACTTGAACATCCATTGACCTTGGAGGGAGGGGCCCCCAAAGGGAGGTGCTGTTCACTTTTGCCGAATCATGAGGAAACTGGGACCCAGAGGAGGGAGGGACACTCAAGGTCACACGGGTCGCGAGGCTGGTACTGGGGCCAGGATCCCTGCCATCCAGCTCAGGCACCTGGGGGCCCAGCCCAGGCCTGGTCTCCCACCCACAGGACGGCAGTGTGTGCGTATTCTGTGAGCCCAGGGAGGGGCCTGGGTGGGCACCCTCTCCCACTCACGGGGCAGGCGATTACACTGCGGGACCTGGACACAGGCTCTCGTGGAGGCTGTGCCCTGGGCAGTTGGGGCCTAGACCAGTGATGGCGAACCTATGACACGCGTGTCAGAGGTGACATGGGAACTCATTTTTTTGGTTGATTTTTCTTTGTTAAATGGCATTTAAATATATAAAATAAATATCAAAAATATGTCTTTGTTTTACCATGGTTGCAAATATCAAAAAATTTCTATATGTGACACGGCACCAGAGTTAAGTTAGGGTTTTTCAAAATGCTGACACGCCAAGCTCAAAAGGTTCGCCATCACTGCACTAGACTCTGTGCTGAGTCTCAGAAGGTGCTCAGAGCTGTTCCAGGAAATGCTGGTCTGACGGAGTGAGCAGTGAGGGCACGTTTTTGGAGTATGTAGGGGAGGGGAGCAAGGGACTGGGGCCAGAGAGGTGGGGGGCTGAGAGTCGCTGCAGGGACTGGGGCCCGGAGCCCCGGTTGAGGCCCTGGGTGGTCTGTCTGCCATAGGCCCTGCCTTATCCCCGTGCCACTCAGTATGGGCACATGCCCATAGGAAATGGGGCCAGCTGTCCCCAGGTCCCCACGGCTGGCCACCTCTCCGGGTGAGGGGACTCAGGCATCGGTCCCGCTGTGTCCCATGTCATCATGGGCTGAGCAGGTGGCCAGCCTCCAGGCCTGAACTCCCTCACCTGTCAAGTGGGCCCAGTTGCCAGAAGCAACTGCCAGGGCTGGAGGGGACTGTGAGCTTTGTCCAGGTCAGAGTTAGAAGGCTGGCATCCCCGGGCTGCAGCCCAGCCCACCCTGGGTCCCTCGTCCTTTCTCTCTGGGGCCATGCGGGGCAGAAGGGCTCTGAGTCCCCTGTCTGCCTCCCACGTGGAGCTGGGGGCGCCTTGGGGCACCCTGGTCTGGCTGACAGTGCCTTCTCCCCGCAGACATCAGGCTGGTGTCTGAGCAGTTCTCGCAGTCCCCGCAGAAGCTGTCTTTCTACAGCTGGTACGGCAGCGCCAGACTCTACCGCTTCCGCGTGCCCCCGGACACCGTGCTGCTGCGCTGGCTGCTGCAGGTGGCCCAGGGCGGCGGCCCCACCTGTGCCAACCTGGAGATCACCGTGTAGGTGCCTGCCCGCCCGCCCCGGCCCAGTGCCCGCCCGGCCCAGCGCCCGCATCCGATGCCTGCCCTGCTGTCCCCCCCTCCAGGTACTTCCGCTATGGCGCCCCTCCCGTCATCAACCCCCTGGGTACCAGCTTCCCTGCCAACACCTCCATGCAGCCCTCCTTCCTCATCAAGATGCTGCAGAGCAACACTTCCATCAACGTCTCCCACCCAGCGCCTGGGGACTGGTTTGTGGCTGCCCACCTGCCCCCCTCATCCCAGAAGATTGAGGTGAAGGTGAGGGGCCTGCTCTCCTGATGGAGGGGCAGGACACCCGTGTGGGAATGGCTGGTCCCTGTCATTTACCTCCTCAGGACAGACCCTGCCAAGGCCCTGCTGCAGCCCCGCCTCCCCCCCCCCCCCAGCCTAGCCCACCTCCCATCTGGTCCTGCCCCATCCCGTGCCCACGAAATCCCCTCCCCCACCTCTCCTTCTCTCCCCAGGGCTTTATTCCCACCTGTGCCTACATCTTTCAGCCGGACATGCTGGTCGTGCGGGTGGTCGAGGTCTCCATCCTGGAGCCCGACACACCCTTGCCACAGACCCTCCTCTCCCAGCCCGGCTACCTCAAGTGAGTGGGGGTTTGGGGGAGGCCCAGCCTCCGGTTGATGGGGTGGGATGGGGTGGGAGAGGCTGGGTTCTGGGTCTTGGGGTTCTGCTGAGAAGTGGGGCAGCCACCGTGACTGTGACCAGTGAGGGGGTCACTGGCAGCCACAAAGCCTGAGCGAGCCCGACCCCCTTGGCTGCAGAATCTTCGTCCCCGAGTTCACCCAGGAGCTGCGGCTGGAGCTGCAGGGCTGTGTGTCCAACGGGAGCCGGGGCTGCCCCGTGCACCTCACCGTGGGCTCAGCTACCCTGCCCAGCAACTTCCAGAAGGTGCTCACCTGCACTGGCCCCGCCCAGGCCTGCCGCCTGCTGCTGCCCTCGCCGCCCTGGGACCGGTGGTTGCAGGTGACAGCCAAGAGCCTGGCAGGGCCCCGTGTATTGGTGGCTTTCAGCGCTGTAGCTTCTCTCACAGGTGGGCTGATGGGAGGCAGGCCGGGGTGGCTGTGCCCTGCCTTCGGTCCCCAGCCCTTTCTCCAGCTAGGCCCTGTCCTCCTGACAGCCTGCAGGCCTTGGATCGTAAACTTCCAGCATCTTCTGCAGAACAGTTCAAACCAGAGCCGCAACAACACGTCTGCTGGTCTGCTGCCCCCGGGGCCTGGCTGGCGGGGCCTGGGGGGGAGCAGCCGTGTGGGCGGCGGCCCCTTCTGCCTCCTGAGCTACCAGGCCGTGCGGGAAGACGTGGATGTGGTGTCTGTGCACTTCAGGCCCCCGGACAGGGCCTCGGTGCTGGTGCGGTCGGACGTGCCTGCAGTGATGCGGCTGCAGCTGAGCACGGGCATGGACAGCGGGGGCTCCCTCACCATCGCCCTGTGGGCCAACGAGGTGGGGCTCGGCCCAGCGCAGCTCCCAGCGCTGAGCTCCAGGCTGAGTGAGGCTGCTCAGCCTTCGGGCGTTGACTTTATCATGGACACTGGGTGGGGGTGGCCCCAATAGGCATTGGGCCGGGTAGGGGCACCCCTTGCAGAAAGGGAGGAAATGGGACTGCGGGCGGGGTCAGAGGCTGGGTGTTGCGGGCTGGGGGGGAGGGTCCTGGGGGCCCTGGGCCAGTGGAGCCACAGACAGTGGCAGCATCAGACTGGGAACTTGGGCTGATTTGCGCGGCCTCCCCTTGTAGAGTGTGATGCCCAACAACACCTGGGTGAAGGCCTGCGTGAACGCTGCCTCGCCCTTCCTCAGCTTCAGCGCTGCGCTCAACTGCACCACAGGTACGGGCAGGAGCATCCGGCTGAGGACCACGCCAGCCCCTCTGGCCACCTCTTACCAGGCCTCCTGCTCCCCCTGCAGCCTTCTTCCAGGGGTATCCCCTGTCTTTGAGCACCGTGTCTCGCAAGGCCCACCTTATCATTCCCTACCCAGAGACAGACAGCTGGTACCTCTCCCTGCAGCTCGTGTGCCCTCAGAGTCCTGAGTAAGTAAACCTGGGGGCTGGCGTGGGGCTACCAGAGGCACCGGGTGGTTGAGTCATTGCGTTCAGGGCCATGATCAGGCTGCCTGCGTCTGAGTCTGAAAGTGGCCCAGCTTCCTACAAGCCGCAAGGTAAGTTGCCTTCCGGGAGTTACGAAGGACTCTTCTCCAATGGACACCCCTCTTCAGACAGCCCTGGGAGTCAGGGCACAGGGAAGGGGCCTGGCTCAGGACAGCCCGAGACAGGCTGGGTGCAGTGTGGTGCGGAGGGGAAGGGCCTTTTGGCTTCTGTGTCTCACAGCTGCTGTCTCCCAGGGCTCAGGAGCCCGCTGGAGCCCTGGCGGAGGCTGGCCAGCACACCCTGCAGCCAGCCTTCCTGGGCCCCTTCCTCCAGGGGGTGTGAGGAGGCCTCGGTGCTCGTGGAGACCGCCTTGTCCTTGGTGCCCTGCTTGAACGACTGCGGGCCATACGGCCAGTGCCTCCTGCTGCGCAGACATGGCTACCTGTATGCGGGCTGCAGCTGCAAGGCAGGTGAGGGCCAGCCCGGAGCCTCCGGACACTCCGTCCCTGACTTCTCAGCCCTGTGCCTTCCTCCAGGAGCCCAGCTCACTGCCCAGGCTGAGAGCACCCTCGCCGAGCAAGGGCAGACGCCTTCTCTCCACTCCTGCCATGTACCTCCCATCCCCCAGGCAGAAAGGCACCCCCAGAGATGGTACTGCCTCCTGACTTGGCCTCCTCTGCCCACACCTGCCCACAGACATGTCCCACACCTGACTCACATCTGCCTGCACCTGCTCCATACCCTCCTCTTACCTGTCCACACCTGCTCCACACCTGTCCCATACATATTGCCCACACCTGCCCCCTACGTGCCATATACCTGCCCCACACCTGTCCCATAGCTGCCTCATATCTGCCCCACACCTCCCTACACTTGCCCCACACTTCTTTACACCTGCTCATGCAGCCCACAGCTGTCTGCGTCTGCCCACACTATCCTATACCCACCCACACATGCCTGCACCTACACACACCTGTCCCAGCCTGCTCCTCGGTGAGAAACGGACTTCTCTCCAGGCCGTGCCCTGAGGTTCAGAAGTGCCTCCCCCATTAGCCTGGCCTCCGTTGCCCACCCTCAGCCCGCTCAGCATTGTCCTGCCCACAGGCTGGCGTGGGTGGAGCTGCACAGACAACAGCACCGCCCAGACCTTGGCCCAGCAGCAGGTGGCCGTGCTCCTGCTCACCCTCAGCAACCTCGTGTTCCTGGCCCCCATCGCCCTCTCTGTGCACCGCTGCCTCCTGGTGGAGGCCTCCGTCTACGCCTACACCATGTTCTTCTCCACGGTGTGCTGCTGCTCCCTGGGGGGCAGGGGGGTCTGAGTGTCCACTCACTGCCCCTCACACCTCTCTGCTCACTGCCCCCCACCCTGTAGTTCTATCACGCCTGCGACCAGCCGGGGGAGGCCGTGCTGTGCATCCTGAGCTACGACACCCTGCAGTACTGCGACTTCCTGGGCTCTGGGGTGTCCATCTGGGCCACCATCCTCTGCATGGCGCGGCTGAAGGCCGCCCTGAAATATGTGAGTGCCTCCCCACGCCCAAGGCTGGGCTCTGAAGGAACAGAGGCCTTGCATGCTGAAGGAGAGACCAGAAAGAGGGTTTGGCTGCTGCCGTTAGAAACCTCCCGTCTTTCATAACAACCCTCCCTCTGGCACTGGAAGGGACTGTGCGGGCTGCTCAGAGGGCTCTGGGGAGAGAAGGTGGAAAACGGTGAGGCAGGGCCTTCCCAGCCCGTCTCTCTCCCAGGGCGCTGAGAACACTGTGGGGCTTTTTCTGCCACAGCCGGCATGGCTGAGGGAGACATGTGACCCGGAGCCCTGCCTGGCTAAGTTGAGCCTCAGGATGAGTCAGTAACTAGAGGAGGGCGCCTCCCGCCCGACCAGCGGAACGGAGCAGTGTGCCAGCAGCTCCAAGGGGGCAGACGGGGTGCTGGGGGCAAGGGGGGGGGGCAGGATGCCCAGCACACCCCGGCCACCAGCTCCTGCTGGACCTTGTGCCATTAGGAACGGCCCTGGCCTGGGCTCCGTGACCCTGTGTCATCCCTGTGTCTTGCTCAGGTTCTGCTTCTCCTGGGCACACTGGTGTTGGCCATGACCTTGCAGCTGGACCGCAGGGGCGCCTGGAACATGATGGGGCCTTGTCTCTTTGCCTTGGTGGTCATGGTCACCATGTGGGTAAGGAGCTCCCCACAGACCCCCCACTCTGGAGGGAGCTGGCCACTGGTTCTGGCCATGTTGCTGGTCCTGAGTTGGAGTCCCCCACGTGTGCTGAGGCCTGGCCCTGGCGCTCAGGGCCTTGTGTGGCTTCGCCCAGGCCTGAGGACACCTCAGGTCTCTATGCCCTGGAGCCCCTTACAAGTATTGCCCGTCCTTGTCCTGCTACCCAGATGTGGGCAGGCCCCTGGGAGGTACAGCTGCAGCCCCGTGCCAGTGCTCTCTCAACGGTTCTACCCAGGTGTACCGCTGCGGGCACCGGCGGCGCTGCTACCCGCCCTCCTGGCAGCGCTGGGCCTTCTACCTCCTGCCCGGCATCTCCATGGCCGCCGTGGCCATTGCCATCTACGCCTCCATGATGACCAGCGACAACTATTACTACACCCACAGCATCTGGCACATGCTGCTGGCAGGGAGCGCAGCCTTCCTGCTGCCCCCGCGGGACAAGCACGCTGAGCCCTGGGCCTGCTCACAGGGGCTCGCCTGCCACTATCAGATCTGTAAGAACCACCGGGAGGAGCTGTACACGGTGACGTGATGCCGCCAGCTCAGGGACATGCACAGCTCCGGTGGCAGCCTCTGCAGCAGGGGGGCACCAAGGGAGAGGGGCCTGTCCGGATGGATTTCCAGCGGAATAAAATGGCCCTGCACACCCATTTGCTTCCTCCTCCGGAGGAGAGACCTCCCGCCCACAGGTGGAGGGGGGGCGGGGCAGCTCTGTTCTGCTGGCCTGGGCTTGACTGGAGACGCACAGAGAGATGCGCCCATCGCGCTGTTCTCCTGTGAGGCCGTGATGTGAAACCCAAGGAGGCAGAGGAGGCTTGAGCCACCTCCCACCAGCCCCCAACACTGCTGAGGCTGGGAGCTGTGCCCCCAAATGCCAGTCTGTGTTGGGTGTGGGCATGCCCCCTGCTGATGCTGTTGCCCTGGGCAGAGAGCTGCCATGTGTGGTGCAGGCGAGAGGCTGGGGGCCTGCCTGTCCCTTCCTTCGGTTCTCAGCTGTGAAGCTGCCGGCCCCTGAGAAGAGTTCCTGGGGAGGCATCGAGCGGCCGGGCGGGTGCCAGCAGCGCAGGGTGGACTCTGCCGGCCCTGTGCCCCTCCCTTCCCCTGGGCCCTTGTGGGGGCATCTTCGATGCTGTCAGGAGCGGAGGCGATGAGGGGCTGCTGGAGAGCCTGGCCCAGCCTCCTCCGCCTCTGGGGGTAGCAGGGTGAGCCCCAGGAGATGCTGCACCAGGAGTGGCCCTGCCCCTTCCCCAGGCAGGAGGGCGGCTGGGTGTGCAGAGTGGAGCAGGCCAGGGGAAGCGGGTCACTGAGGCCGGGCTCGGCCCCCATGAGCAGTCATTCTCCAGCAAACACCAGGGAGCGCCCCTCACCAACCTCGTCGTCGTGGACGTACCTGTGGCCCAGGATCCGCCCTCGCGGCCCAGAGCCCCGCTGGGGCTGGGACCCCGGTACCGGATGGGAGCGGGGCTGCGCCTGGACCGCCCCGTGTGGCCTGGAGTGCACGTCTGCACCACGCCGTTCGGAGCGAAGGTGGTGCGGGGCCCCAGTGGGGAGGGGGGGTGAGGGCGGCCAGCTGACCCCGGACTCCAGGGGGCCCAACCCCAACCGCGGGCCCCCTGATATGTGGTGTTTTGGGGGTAAACGTTTTATGACAACTAATTTCATGTAGCTCTGGTCGCTG